TGTTTGTTTTGGGTCTTCTGATACCTGATCCTGTTGACACCTCATGATCACACAGGCTGGTGTGCTTCTTCCATGTGGGTTTTGTTGCTTCCCTGCTAGGTGGCCGCTTGTTTAATTTCAAGCCTTTAGATCCCAGATGCTATATCTTCTAATAGCTGGGCACCATCAGCTTTCTTCACCACATTTGCTTATGCACCCATTTTCTCTTTAGTGATCATGTCAGGAAGGTGAGCATCACAGAAGGCCCCAGGTTATTAGAACAAAGTGTTCTTGCATTGAGGCAGGACTTGAGTAGAAGCCCTGTGTCCGTCTACTACCTTGATACTTAACATATGTACATAGACCTATATCCCTATCATTATATATTAATATATTTACATATATACAATCTATATTTATACCTCTGTAAATGTGTTTTGCTTCTAGTTCTTTCCTCTGTTTTCTTTTACTTTCCTCCTGTCCCACTATTATGTACGATAGTCATTCTGCTCTCAGTATCCCTCTTGACTACATTGGACTTGATCAAACCCCACGAGGCATTCTACGTCCTCCTTGCAATCAATTTTAGATCTCTTGTTGTTATCTTGTCCCTGGGTTTGTTGGCTCCCCTGTCTTTTTCCCCCAACTCCCCCTCTCTCCTGTACCCCGGAACCATCACTCCCATAGTCTTTTCCCCGGGATTGTTTTTCTTCCCTATCTTATGTAGACATGAAAAAAAAGAAGAGGAGAGAGAGAGAAAAGAGTGGGGGGAGGGGGCTATAAATAGTTCCAGATCTGTTTGTTGGCTTTTAATTTATGCTTTCTGTTCCGATTGAGTCTGATGAGGTGCCAAGCCCTGCTCTTCAGGTCTGAAGTCTATTCTGGGGATTCCTCAGGGGCTTCGTTGCTTTGCTCCCCTTTCTGCTCTGTCGCACTGCCTTCATGTTTTGCCTTGGTGTAGGGGCTCAGACCAGCACAATCCCTGCTCGGTGTCTTCAGTACTGTCCCCCATAGTACTGTGGTCAGTGAGGGAGCAGCGTGTCTCATGGTGGGGCTGGCCATATGGTCCTCCGCTGCTTGGAGCAGGAATGTCATCTTTGAGACTTGGTGGGCCAGGATGCGGTTCGGGTTCTCTCCCTCCCTCCCTCCCCAACCCCCAACCCCTCTCTGTCTTTCCCTTTTAGTTTGCTCCCGGCCAGAAATTTTTGAAAGTGAGGATTTTTCTTAAAAAGTTTGGAGTCAACCTCAACATGAATCCATTGACTTCTATATATTAAAGTGTGTTCCTAAATGTTTACTGCATAATTTGAATAAGAAAGATTTTGATCTTTAGAATATGTATGGAAATTGCTGTGAAGTCTTACATTTTTGACACTCTACATTGTCATCACAGTTACACACATGTGCCTTTTCAATGTTCTTCGTCATTTTCCACTCCTCTCAAGCTGTAATATTGCTTTGCAGTATCCTTCTTGTAGTCTGTATGTATTACACAGCCTCCCTTACTGAAAAGAAAACCTGCTGTCATTGAATCAATTCTGACTCATAGTGACCCTCTAGGTCAGTGAAGATCTGCTCCTTTAGGTTTCCAGAAACCTTTTAAGTCTTTTAAAGGTGGCAGGGTGACTGGTGGGTTCAAAGCACTGAACTTATGACTGGCAGCTTAATGCTTAACCAACTAGCCACCATGAGTCCATATACAACTTTCATTAGAAGTCCTTAGGAAATAGTTTTCAAATATTTCTTATCATTTTTGTCTTATCCTCTAATTTGTGGGTCTGAATTCTTCTCATATTTAAAACTAGGATGATAAGTTAATTAAATTAGCATAACTTAATAGCTAAAATGCAGTGAAACATCATATCAAAGAAACTAGAGCTGATGTCATCTATTTATTCAGTGCAATTTTCTGCATCAGCACTCAAGTAACCCCAGGGGCAGACCTAAAATGCAAGACACCAGGAGAAAAAACTTTCTGTTTTTGTGCTGTGTTATCTTTTATTAGCTTAATTTTGTTCTTATTTGAAGGTTATATCTACTCTTTTTAAACATTTTTATTAAACTGAGGATTCCCTATGTTTAACTGAAATTCCCATTAAACAATCAGAAGCCAAAGGTTGTATAACCATTTTTAAAAGTACAGTTAATTCCCATAGGGACCTTACAAATGGACTTTGGGCTTCCACTGTCATCTCTAGCCTTCTACAAAAACAAAACAAAACAAAAACGTGTTCACAATTTACGCTGTGATACTTTTTTCTCCTTCACATTTGGGTCTTGTTATTTATAATTCTTGGATCACATGGTGTTGTACTTCTGTGTGGACTTAGTTGGCCCCTCACTTACATGGCTGCTTACTTTAAGACAACCCTTTAAGACCCCACAAGCTTTTCTTTCTGATACCCAGGCCCCACCTGGTTTCTTTACCACACTTTGCTATAGCACCCATATCTTCATTCATGTCAATAAGAGTGTTAAAAGAAACAAAAAATGTATGACTAGAATGCTTTCTGGATGTATCATTTACTGACTTACTTACCTAGGGTAAGAAACTTCACATTTCTGATCCTCAATTTTCTCATTTGTGGAATTAGGATAGTGGTAACTAGGATAACTGTGTAGTTATTTACTTTGTTCCATTTAATTGAGCAATAGTCTCATGGGGCAGGTGCTACCCTTTCACATTCATGGGCATGATCATCACGGATTCAAGCTAACAACAGCACTTGTTAAGAATGGAGTTGAAGTGCTTTCTATTGGACTTTTTAGCGTTGCATGTCAACCATGTTACAAGATTTTTTTTTCCCCTACCCAATTTTGTTGTTAGTTTAGGAGTTCTTTACATCTTCTTGATGTTAAGCCATTATGATGTATATGGTTTCCTGAAGGTTTTTCCCTGATCTATACGCTCTTTTCAGTTTGTTGAGAAACTCCTGTGATAAATTTAAAGTAGTTAAGTTTTGTTTTTTTTTAACATTTTATTAGGAGCTCATACAACTGTTATCCCAATCCATACACACAATTGTGTAAAGCACATTTGTACATCGTTTCTCAAAACATTTTCTCTCCACTTAAACCCCCGACATTAGGTCCTCATTTTCCCCTCCCTCCCCGCTCCCCCCTCCCTCATGAGCCCTTGATAGTTTATAAATGGGTATTTTGTCATATCAGTAGTTAAGTTTTATGTGGTCTTAACTTACCTGTTTTGTCTTTTGCTGCACCTGCATCATATCTAATAACAATCCATTGTTAGAAACTAGGTCCCAACCCAGTGCCCTAGGTTTTTTTCCTAAGCATTTTATTAGTTTAGTTTTCACATGTAGGTACTTAATTCTTGTTGAAATTTGTTTTTATTTATGGTGCCAGATCTTGTTTTATTTTTTTGAAAACTGGATTTCCATTTACCCCATTTTTTTCTTTATGAAACCACTAGCTTTAGAGTACATTTGTTAGCCTTTTTAATGTGGATTCATAATGAAAAACTTACATTCTTTAAAAATCTATGGCAAGTTAATATGTTAAATGGTATTATATCACCATTTATTAGAGTTCTTATTGATCATAGATTTTTATGGAATCATTTAAAAGGATTACGATGTAAGCAGTTGCAAGAAAAAAGCAAGGATTCACCAGTTTACTGTATAAATTGCTAATTGGGGCTCAGGGATGTGTCCCTCAAGGGCAGCCTTTTGTTTTAATAGGAACCTTTGGAAGGCACATCGCACCATTAACAAGTGCTCTCCACCATGTCTGATTCTGTTTGTAGCTTGAATTGTAGTCTCACATATAGATGAATTGACAGATGAATTGGCCATGGGGACTTTGTATTCATGGTATCAAAAAACTGCAACTGGAAATGGGATTGATGGTATTTCCTATGAGGAAGTTTAAGGTAACTTCCCCAAAATTTCTTTACTGAATTGCTGAGCATTGTGAGAAAGTTCAACTTTTAAAAGTAGAACTGTAACCAACCTTAATAAGCACTTCTGTGAGGTTTTTTGTTTGCTGTGTGTATGTGTGTGTTTTTCTTTTCATCTTGAATTAAGCTTTACGTGACCATGTTTTTCAAAATATATTATTCTTGCCATTCTTTGACAGACCCCTTATTCCTCTGGACAGAATGCAGGTCCAACCACGCTGGTGTATCCCCAAACCCCTCAGACAATGAATTCACAACCTCAAGCCCGTTCTCCGGTAAGTAACAAACGCTTGTTCTAGAGAATATGGTCTGTTTTAGAGAGTGTGTGTGTGTGTGTGTGTGTGTGTGTGTGTGTAGGACCTTGAGTTCTCTCGACTAATATTGTTTATTGGATTTTGGAAGCTTATTTCAAAGATATATTATTACTATTATTGGATGCTGCATTTTTAGATCTCTCTATGTAGGAATAGTTATGATTTATTAAGAAAAAGAAATGGAGCTTTCTAATTAATTACTTTTTACTTTTCTATGGCCTGGTTTTTCTTTGTTTTTGTTTTTTTCCCTTTGTTTGCCTTCAGGTTTACGTCATTTCAGCCCTGAATTTATTAGTTGTACTGTTCAAACCTCAGAACAGTAAAGCACAATGATTTTCAAAGTGAATTGACTTTCATCAATGAGATTCTGAATCTAGTAGCTTAGAAATAGATGACTGAGTCCGTGTCCCTGGAGCAGTCCTGACTATTTGACAGTATGGACATATGCATGCCATGCAATGTGGGTCCATTCATTTCTTCAGATGGCAAATTAATTCTCTTACAAATGTAAATGCTATCATCTTCTTTGCTCATCTTTTACATGGATTGCAACAAGTACTGCAAAGAAAGAGAATGTACTCAAGGATCATCTTTTGTTTCAGCAAAGTATGCAATCGCTTCAGCTGCCCATTCCTTAGAAAGTCATCTCCCGTCCTGCATGATTAGCTTTGGCTAGAAGGTGCTTCTGTAACATCTCACACTGTATCTCTTTGTACCTCACTCAGCCTTGTTGTCCTCAGAAAACAGGAGCCTTCTTTTTGTTCCTAACCCTGCTTTTTGCCTGTCATACAGGAATATGTCATTGCATTAGCTCTTTATTCTTTTGGTTTTGTGCATGAATTTAGAATTGTTGAGGTACACCAAAGATTCGCTCAAAGAACTAGGACAGCATAGACTGCACCAAAACTTTTATCTTTCTTACCCTTTCTGTCTGCCTTTTTCCTGTTGTCTTTTTCTCCAGTACTCATTCTTAGATGCTCATTCTCCCCAGGGTGTGAAGGAACCCATTCTATAGAGTGAGGTGGGGCTTCCGTCCCATTTGCTTGTTTGCTTGCCTTTTTCACCACCACCCCCACCCCCCTCTTTTATTTGCTGAAATGATCAACAAGGTGTCTGATGCAAGTTTTGTTTCTGAGAGTGGCTTGGGAATGTGGACACTTGACTACTTGGAATGGGCCTAATAGAGCAAATTAGATAGGCCCCAGTTCTCATCATTAAATATGGAACATTATGGTAAGCTCTTGTTGGAAAAGAATTCTATGGCCTTTTCTCCACCCCCTACCCCCTTTTTAACTTTGGAAAAAAAGAAAATTTTACATGGTTAGAACTGGCGCAAAACCTGACTGAAGAGCTGCATCTCTAAACCAGTTTTTTTGACAGCCCAGCAGAACAGTGCCAATACATTGCACAGACAACTGGAAGAGGAGGAAGGTTTTGGAACAGACTCCTGTTTACAGGTCCCTGGCTGGAAGAGGCTGGATAAAATACTGCATTGTAAGCAATATAACAAACTGTACTTCTTGCAGGCAGTGGTGCCTCTGGCACGCATTATTTTTGACCACATCCATATATTGGCTGATGAACAGAAATGCATTGATTGTTTCCTCTCTGAAAGTCTAACCTAGCATGGCAGTTTTCTGCCAGGCATGGGTGGTGGTTGTTGGGGTGGGTATAACAAATTGGGCGGGTCATCTCTATTGGGAATTAGACAGGAGGAATTGGGTTTAGATTTTTCTTTATCTTAAACTTCAAACAAAATAGCCCTTTCAGGGAAATTTTATTTTAAAAGAAAAATTTCAGGGCTTCTTCCCCAACCCCTTTTCATTTATTAATCAAATATCAAGGGGGAAATTATCTGCAATTGTCAGCCATTTTTCTGTGGTCATAAACTCTTCAGCATACTATTCTCTATGCAGTTTTTTGCCATCCGCTCTGCTAGTGACCATCACCACCCCCATTACTAAACACCACATACATAACATTCCATTACCTACCCAAAACAAGTGCAAGACTAGACGACAGCCCACACTACTCTTGCTGGTTGTTTTGGGTCCGATTTTCTTTTTCTGTTTTTCATTTTGTGATGATGCTGGGAGGTTGAAGTTGGGATGTGAAATTGGCAGGATTGCATTTCCTTTTTACATCCTAAGTTGCCATAGTCTAGTCCCATCCATCCCACAGCTGTCCTAACTGGTGAGGAGAGGTAAGCTGTTGCACCAAGGAAAGACCCTCCTGTGGCTTTGTAGGGCGGCTCAAGCCTACTCCATTCTATTTCTGCATTAATGGGCCATTGGCAATTGCACAGTTTAGGCTTTTCTGTTTCTCCCCGGACAGCTGCCTTTGCAATCCAAACTGGCTTCAAACGCCTCTCTCCCTCCCTCAGGTCATCTTTGTGCCTATATTGCTATTTAATCCTTAGTATCTTCATTAAATTTATATTGTGGGGCATCCCATTTAAAAAAATAATAAGCTTCAGTAAAATGTACCAATCTGTTCCATTTTCTTGTTAAACTCTTAAACACTAATGAATGTTTAAATAGCCTGTCAAATATAGTGAAGCAATCGAATACTTATTGGGAGAGGGGAACAGTTTAGTTTTTTGCATTAACCTGTAAGCATTGGTGATTTTAATATTTTGTGGCACTAAGTGCCAAAGTTGCATCAGTCTTATGTTGGCTATGCCCAGTTAGCAACTGTGCACAGAATGATATGTGAGCAAATGGGTGGGTGGTATTAACACTGGATCCAAGTTCACAGAAGGCTGTTTTCCTTTATTATGTCTACAATCCTCACCATCTTAAGACCCTTCTAAATGGAAAAAGGAAACAAAAGTTTCTGTCTTTACTATGAGCCAGCAGCGACTACAGTTTGTTCTGTTGCTTACAGTTACCCATAGGATTGAGACTGTTGTCATTCCAAATTAAAAACTCAATAGCCAATGGTGACTAGTGCAAAATAGAGTAGGGTACTTCCCAAGACACTTTCCCACTAACTTGTGTGTTGGTTGTTGTTATTTTTAATAGATGCATAATTCTATAAGGTATTCTTCTTGTTCATAGAAAGTTCTCTTTTGTCTGGAACATTCCAAATATATAATTGTTCAACTTTCATTTTAGAGCCTTAGAAATGGGTTCTTTCTGTGGAACAGTGATAAGACAGGTACTGCTGTGCTCAGGTTAAGTTTTTTCACATGGTCCTCCTCTCCCCTTGTCTTCACAACTGTCACGAAGACACATCTCACATACACCGCCCCCCCTCCCGTTTTCATACCATAGGGGTGGTTTTGGCTGTCCTTGAAACTTGATGTTAGCCATTGAGGTATGATCTGTTTTCTTCTCATAATTGGAAAACTGAAAATATGAGACTTCAGCTTCTTTTAAGAGAAAATTTTCTGTAAGAAATGTAGCTTCCATAATCATCACTAAAATATATAAAACAGTGGTTAGCCAAATAGAGTGGCTTACCTAACACACTCTTAAGCTGATAGGTCCCTTTGGAACCTTCCAGAAGTTGTTCTGAATGACTTCACCATGTTGAGTTTTTTCCTTCCTTGAACAATAAGGTGACATTTTACCTAAGGTGAATTTTTGGTAGAGGTTGTCTTCAGCCATCTCCTATATTGTGGCCTGTGCTCCACCACAGTAGGTAGATATTTTTTAAAATATTGAATAATGGCACTAGGGAAATCCAGATCTCTTGAAAATTATTAGTGCACATAATTTAAATTCTAAGTAGTGGGATTGTTTCTTAATTTATCTTCAGTCTGCTCCAGCTATTCGGATGAGCTGACGGAAGAAAGGTACCAGAGAAAATAAAACAACCAGCTCCTTAAATGTATGGTTTGTGGTGAAAACGGCTTACTTGTATTTCCTTTCACTCTTAGAGTGTGGTTTGAGCATTGTTAAAGTGTTAGGAGCCAGGACACTGGCCCTACATGCCTCAGTACTTTTCTTTTTTGGTAAAAATGCATTTGTAGCCAATTTTTTTCTCTGATGATAAAATATGGTATTGGAGGTTTAGTGTTAAATTTTTCTGGGTGAACAACTTTCTCCCCAACTCC